CTGTGAGATTTTCAGCCGGCAGTCTGGGTGGTACTTTGCTGTGTATCGATAGAAACTAATTTGACAGGAGAAAGATGCTAAAGGATTTTTTTTTTTTGATAGTTCAACTTTTTATTATTGAGGTAGGTAAGTAAGCTATGTAAGTAGAAAAATACGTAGATAAGTAAAGTTACCTCTCTACTTCCAAAATAGATTTGGGGTTTTAAGCAAGTCAACCCTCTCTGGAACATCTAGCAAATAACCTGGTGTTAACCCAAAGGTTTAAACTGGAAATTTTCATCTAAAACCACATTTTTACAAATGAATAGGAATAGTCCCTTCAGCTTTACATCCAAACATCTCTGTTGTTTACCTAGCTGTTCCATGAAGTCAGCTGAGTCTTTCATCACCAATTTAAATTTTATATCAACTCTGTCTAGTAGAAATTTCTTTTCTTAATGCTAAAGGATTAATACAATATCCCAGTGAATTACTATGAAACATTATCTCTGTCACTTGTAAATTCGCATATATACTGACAGATGTTTCTGGATTCCCTGTCCAATCCAACTCCTACATCTACCTAGTTGTAGCTTTTGTGCTAAAATTGTACTGGTGTTGTGGTTCTACAGTATATCCCGATATCTAGTAAGATAATCCCTTCTCTGCTATTCATCATTTTCATACTTTTCTTGACTATTCTCAAGTGTTTACTCATATTTGATCTTTATTGTAGCCACTTTTTTCAAAATCTTGATTTAAGAAAAATCTCATTATGTGGTATTTATATTTTACTTTAGGGAGAATTGGCATTTTAATTACACCAAGTCTTCCCTCCCAAGGACACTTTGCTTTACATTCTTCATAACATTTTGTAGTTTTCTTTACATAGGTCCTGTGCCTATCTCGTAAATCAATTCCTAAGCATTTTCTTCTGAATGCTACTATTATGGGGGTATTTTTCCATTTCTAGTCATATTTTCTCCATTCTGTTGCTGAGGATTGGTTCTAGGACACCCCCACCAAGGCACCCAAACCCACAGATGATTAAGTCCTCTGTACAAAATGGCTTAGTGCTTGCATGTAACTTATGTACACCCTCCCAAACACTTTAAGTCAGCTCTAAGTTACTTGTAATATGTAATACAATGTAAATGCTATGTAATTAGTCCTGTTATATGGTTTAGTGACTAATGACAAGAAAAAGAAGTCTGAGTAGGGGATGGTGGTGCACACCTGTCATCCCGGCACTCACGAGGTGCAGCAGGAGGATCCCTGGGAGTTTGAGGCCAGCCTGGACTGCATAGTGAAACTTTCTCTCTAAAAAAAAAAAAACGGTCTGTATATGTTCAGTACTAATGCAATTTTTTCAGCTGTTTTCAATCCACAATGGGTCAAATCCATGGATACAGAAATGTCAGACACTGAGGGCCATCTGCATATCCGCTAGGAACACAGCGCCTTACAAGCACAAACTGAGGTGTGGGGAAGAAATGTAACTTCATGCCGATTGCTTGCTTGTGTGTTTTTGTGATGCTTGGCATCAAACCCAGGGCCTCACATGTGCTGGGCAAGTACTCTATCACTGGGAGACATCCCTGGCCTCTTTTGTCATAACTTTATAAAATTTCATGAAAACTTATAAAATCCAGCATTTATTTTTATGCTCCCTTTGTGCAGGTAGAAGAAATTCAGCCTGTCTGGCTTCTCTAGCCTCTCCCCAGGGTGAGTTTAAACTTCAGAGGTTACACAGGTGACAAAGAGCCCTGAGATGCCTGTGGTCTCATGGTGTCCTGTGTCTTGTCTTCGTCTCTCCTGCACTGTTCCTCTTTTCCTTCTGAAGTCCCCTCCATCCCTCTCCTGCTCATGCACTCTCCACCCATCTATCTCTCTGACTCTTTCTGTCTAGTCTGTTTTGTGTTTCTGGAACAGAATATCACAAAGCATATTTGGCTCATTGCTTCTGGAGACTGGGAAGGCCGAGAGCGTGGTGACAGCGTCTTGTGTCATGGTAGGAAACTTTGGGAAGAGAGAAAGGGAGTTGGGGGAGAGGGAGGCAGTTCAGTTGCTCTTCCCCCCTTTATAAAGCTACGAATCCCTCTTCCGGGACCCCTCATGACGTCATCTAACCTTGAGTAACTCCGACAGCCCCCACCTCTCCAAATACCATCAAACATAGGAACCTGGAGATCGTTTCTAACACATAAACTTAGGGTGTCACTTTCAAACTGCTCCCCATCACGGAGGCACGCAGGCCTGTGGTAAGCACCACCCACCTCCACACCTCACACACCTGACACGGTCCCGCCCAGGTGCACCTCCACCTTCCTCCTTCCCTGGGTGCAGCCTAGGAGGCAGGACCGAGATGCCCACTCTCTTAAATCCCACTCACCTGAGAGGGGCTCTGTCCTGGGGTGCGGGGGCTGCTGGCATGAGTCTCCCTTTCTTCCAGGCCCTGTAGCATTTTCTCCCTGTTCCTCCCTATCCTTCTTCCTCTCCAAGTCTAGACAATCTTTTCTACTCTCATTACTTATTCTTTCGAATCATGTTCATATCCTGAGTTCTTGGATAATTCAAAAGCCAAAAGAACCTTCATTTCCTCTCCTGCTTCTTCATCCCTTTCCTGAGGCAGTAAAGTCAGAGCAGCCTCGCTTGAGTGGGGAAAGGGTTGTAGGGGGAAAGGAAGTTCCAAAGGAGGAAAGCCAGTTAATTTCAACACAAGATCTCACCTGACAGATAGGCACAGGGGAAAACACCAGAGAAAACATGGTAGATTGCGGACACAGGTGCTGTTTCCAGGAGAAAGAACCACAAACAGATTTTGCTTTCTTATTTTTTTTTTTTTAATTTTACAAAGTTTCTAGAATAGGCACTACTTTTATTATCACACACACATAGACGCAAATAATTTATTCCTGCTCATTTGTAGCTTGTATTCTGTGCAAGTAAAGTTTACTGCATGAGAAAAGACCACGAATCCAAGCACATTACACAAACACGGTGTGTACTGCAAACCAAATGTACGGTGTACAAAACACAAAACAAAAGGAGCACTCCTTCGCATTTCAGTAGCTTGGCAAGAAACACTTTTGTTATTAAGCGAGAGTGAAAAGTCTACCGCACAGACGTGGGAGCACAAGGGCAGCTCAGCACGAAGAGAACAAGCCACCAAAGGCTGCATGATGGACAGGTTTTATTTTATTTTAATTTACTCTTCCTTTCTTCTGTACCTCACTGCTCTTAACTTTTTTAAAATACATGTTTCCAGCACATAATGTTTACATTCCTTGTGGCGAGTCAGTACGTGTACAGCATAACACATCTGAATTCTCCTTTTCATTCCCTCCCCTCTCTCCATCTCTTGATCCCTTTGAGAAAGATCTCGATCTCTCTCTCTCTCTCTCTCTCTCTCTCTCTCTCTCTAGTTCCTATTATGTACCTTTATTCTGCTCTTTAGTTATATTTGTGTGGTATCTAAGTCTGTCTGTCTGATTTATTTCACTTAACAGTATGGTGTCAAGGTGCCTCCACTTTCCTACAAATGACTCACATTTATCTTTCTTTACAGCAGAGTAATACTCCATTGTGTGTAACTAACACACTGTCTATCTCTGTTGGTGGACACAGGCTGCTCCCGAGATTTCGATACTTTGAATTGTGCTTCTACACCCATGGGTATGCGTGTATCATGTAATATGATGTCTTCAAGTCTTTGGACACAACTCCTGGAAGGAGAATAGCTGGGTTCAGTGGAGTTTGTAGCTTTCGTTTTCTGAAGACTCTCCACACTGACTTCCACAGTGGTTGCACCAGTTGACCTTCCTGCCGACGATGTAGAAGGCACCTTTTCTCCTTGAAGCCTCGCCAGCACTTGTTACTATTTGATTTTTTTTTTTTCTTTGTACCAGGGATTGAAATTGGGTCCTTGCAATTGCGAGGCAGGCGGGGGAACCACTGAGCTGAATCCCCGGCTTTATTTGATTTCTTGATGATGGCCATTCTGTCTGGGGTAAGATGGAATGTCAGTGTTGTTTTAATTTGCATTTCTCAACTGGCCAGTGATGTTAAACATCTCTTCCTGCTGGATGAGAAAACTGGTAAAACTCTTGAAGTTAAAGACAAGGAGTTTCTGAATGGAATCCTGGTTTCACAGGAAATAGTAAACAGAATCAACAAATAAGATGGTTTCAAATTAAAAAGCAGTGCAGCAAAAGAAAACCAACAGAGTGATGAGACAACCTAAAGAATGGGGAAAATTTTGCCAGCTACTCCTCAGAGGACTAACATCTAAAACAGAAAAAGAACTCAGAAAATTAGATCTGCCGAAGATAAAAGACCCAGTCAAAAATGGCCATGTGAAATGAATAGATGCAGCACAGAAGGAAAAGTACAAATGGCCAATAAATACTTTTTCATTTTCATTTACAGAATAATGACACATATTTATGGGTTACAGTGGGATACTTTGATACATGTGTTCACTGTGCACTGACCAAAGTAATCAGCGTTTTCATCTCTTATTATTACTTATATTGGACCTTTGCTCTCGTTTAGTTCCTTAAAATTTATAACTGCTTATTAGGTCTGTAGTCTCCCTACTGTCCTGACTTCTTTGCTTTCTTTTCTTTTCTGGTACTGAAGATGGGATTCAGAGGTGCTTTACCACTGAGTAACATCTGCAGTCCTTTTTTATTTTTTTTTAGTCAGACTCTTACTAAGTTGTCCAGGATGGGATCAAACATGCAGCCCCCCCCCCACTTTAGGCTCTGGAGTGGCTGGTATTACAGGTGTGCCCACAAGCCCAGTGCTATCTACCAAAGAAGTTTTTGTGTCTTGAGGCAAGAACGTTTTTCATAAGTATACACTTGCTGGAGATGTGATTAGCAGGTCCTTGCATTAAGTCCGAGGAAGCAAAATTCCCATCACTGTTGAGGAGTTCTGTAGAGAAATGGGCATTGAGGAGCCCTGAGCAGAAGCCCACTTCCGGAGCAGCTGGGGCGAGAGGGCACCAGCCAGGCAAGATGCACTGGGAGGACTTGGTAAGCCTGAGCACTCGTGAGCTGACTGCAGCAAGGATTCTGGTCCACTGTGCTGTGAAGAGCAGGTACCAGCGAAGTAGAGTAGAGGTGAAGCCCAGGGTAACTGTAGAGTGAAATGAGGAAAAGACCAAGAAGAGGAAGACTGGAACAGGATTCCAGGTGGTTTGACCTCAACTCCTGCTCTGTTCCCTCAGCCGAGGGCAGAGCCTCTCATGAGCAAAACTCCATAAGACAGAACTAAGAATCTGCTGCTGAGATTTGCAATAAGTGGTTTATGACAGATACTCTGGGGAAGATAAATTGTTTGTCAGCTCGACTTCTCTTCCAGAATGGAGTTTTGTTGGGTTACTGGGGTAGCGAGAAGAAACTGACATCACCCATGGTCATGGTACTGTGCCTGGCCTGCCTGAACCCCATACTGCACGTGAGAGAGCTGGCCGCCGGGACTCACACTGTTCCCTTCCATGGAGGACTGTCCAAAATGGTAGCTCATCCTGCAAGCTCAGACTCAGCCCCCGGGGGAGGCCAGCAGTCAGTGGCTGACGGACAAAGGCAGGCATAAAACTGGTGTCCCTCCCTGCAGGATCACCGGAGCCCCCGCCTTGCTTGGTTCCTCCCCAGCTCCACCCTGTTACCCTCAGTACCAGCAGTGACCTCGTTCAGGGACACTGCTCTGATTCACGGCTTCTGGGGTGATCCCCGTCCTGGGCCCTGCTTCTAGGAAATTCAGCGTGAGTCAAAGGTGTGGTTCGGATGGTCAGCAAGGAGGCCCAAGCTGGACAGGGGCGAGGAAGAGGGAAACAGGGACTGATAGCATCACACAGGACGAAGAACAGGAATAGGAAGATGGGGGTGAAGGGAGAAACGACTGTAAGAGGAAGAGTCTGCAGACAGAGAAGATGTTGGAAGAAAGCAATTTAGAGTGGGAAAAGGTCCAGGGCACAGGCACACAGGGTGGCATAGAGGATACGGTCCGTGGTGACTACGGGGGGTGACCAGGAGGGCCAGGGGTGACAGAAAGGCAAGAAGGTGGCAGCACCAGGCTGTGTGACTCTTGGGTCAGCAGGGCTTTTATAAAAGGATGAAGGAGAAATTGATGAGCCAAACTTTGCAACCTAAGCAGATCCTGCCTTCAAAGACCTCTGCGGGCGCTGCCTAATCCAAATGGGCAAGGGACAGTGTGGCCCGAGGGAGGACAGCCACTGCCGCCACATCAGGCATTACCTGACAGCTCACGCCTCGCCTTGGTAGGCAAAGCTTAGGAATCTGTACCTAGGAAGACCTTATCTCTCTTGTTCCCCAGGCTGCATATAATAGGTCATAATACATTTTATTGAGTGAATGGCTGAAACCACCGATTGATTTATATTTCACAATAGCTCAGCAAAAGCCACCAGCACCGCAGCAAGGAGCACAAGCCCCACGGTGACGCCATCTGGATTTCCATGGAGCTTGGCCACGCGTGATGCTGAGGGGAGGAAGAGGCCGACCGCGCGACTTCTCTGCACGGCCTGAGCCAGGCAAAGCCCTTCCCGGGAGAGGAGAGGGCCGCGGTGTGGACTCAGGGCG